GTGAAGAATCTCGCTCCGCCTTCTTGTGGCATTTTCCTAACAGAGAACAAAAAAAAAGTAAGGAAAAAGACAATACAAAAATTTTTCTCACTGCAGACAAATTCATCTTTATTTGCAACATTAAAAGCCAACGTACTTGAAACAGATAAAGGAAATACATTTCATAGGAAATCAATCATTGTACTAGAAAATCTGTCAGGAAAACGGTCTGTTGAAGGCATCCTTTTCCAAATAAGTACATATGTGCACACTAAAATATACTTCATTTATATTAGTCATACAGCATAGGATGTCTGATCCAGGTGCCTGGAGGCTGTGAAGATCTGGAATCAACAGGCTTCAACTGAACACTGGCAAGATAGAGAGGCTTTTGAGTTTTGGACCTCCACAGTTCTAGAACTATGTCTTTGGTGCTGGATGGGCTTGCACTGCCCCAAACGGACCCTGTGCACAATCTGGGGGTCCTCTTAGACTTATAACTCCCCTTGAGCAGGTGGCCAAATCAAATCTTTATTTCAGTCAAAGACCAGCATAAAAAGGCTGGAGTACAGTCAATTAAAAAGCATATAAAATACAGTCTAAAAAAATATTGTTATAAAAAGCTAAGAGATATAAAACAGGAGCGATATATATATATATATATATATATATATATATATATATATATACATACACACACACATACATACATATATATATATATATTTCTTGCTCCTCGAAGCACGAAGCTGAAAACACCAGCCATACACCAGCCAATCAGAGCACAGCCATACCCCTAACCAATCAGAACACACCTCCACCCAATCAGAACACAGCCAAGCCCCCACCCAATCAGTTCATACCTCCACTGGCAGTTAAAAGGAAGAAATAGCTAAGACCACACATTGCTCCTCGAAACACGAAGCTGAAAACACCAGCCTGAAGATGATGAATGGGACTTCGTCGAAACGTCGCCAAGACACTTCCAATTTTATGCGGGAGAAAACCCGAATAACCAAAGACCTACATACAACAGTTTGTTTAGTGACTGTTCGAAGTTACAACAGCACTGAAAAAAGTGACTTATGACCATTTTTCACACTTACGACCATTGCAGCATCCTCATGGTCATGTGATTTACACTTGGATGTTTGACAACTGGCTCATATTTATGACAGTTGCAGTGTCCTAGGGTCATGTGATCACCTTTTGTGACCTTCTGACTAGCAAAGTCAATGGGGGAACTAGATTAACAACAGTGTTATTAATTTAACAACTGCATTCATTCACTTAACAAATATTGCAAGAACAATCATAAAATGGGGCAAAACTCTCTTAACAAATTTCTCACTTAGCAGTATAAATTTTGGGCTCAACTGTGATCGTAAGTTAAGGACTACCTGTATGTGGCAGACTTGTCTATCAAATTCCAGAGCACTCTAATATGATGAACTAGATGCTCATTAAGGCTAGTCTATGGCACAGGTCATCATCATCTGATGGATTTTAAGTGCTCTCAGCACAGACCTGGCAATGTTATATGTTGTAGCAGGGTTGGTATCTGAAAACACTGGAGCAGTATAGATTTGTTATGGGTGTTTATGCAATAATGGTGAGATGAGGCTAGTACCAAGGTCTTGGTAAAACAGGCACTGGAGAAACAGTTGTTTCTGTGTGTTCAGAATCACCACTCATGCCTTAGTGCAGGGGTGTCAAACTCAATTTCACTGAGGGCCGCATCAGCATTGTGGTTGAGGGCCGCATCAGCATTGTGGCTGTGGCCTACTGAGTGGGCATGGATGGAGTGGGTGTGGCCTATTGGGTGGGCATGGCCAGCTCTACATCATTTGCGTCAAGGGTACCTGTCGGGGCCTGGGCAGGAGTGGGACAGATCTGAGGATCTCTGGCAGAAGGGGGTGGGACTGGGGCAAGTGCCAAGGCATGGTCCATTTCTTCATTCCTCACAAAGGGTGATACCTCCCCAGCATGCACCCAGGGAGCAGGGCCGACACAGCAGGGGCTGGTTCCTCGCTGTTTCTAGATGGCCTTGTGGAGCTAAGACTGAATGCATTTCAGCATAGATGGCCACCACAAAATTGTACACTGGCTCCCGGCCAGCCTGGGCCAGGGCCAAGGCAGACGGGACCGTTCCCTCACTGTTTCCAGGATGGCTTCGCGGGCCACATGAAACCACTTCATGGGCTGCATCCGGCCCCCGGGCCTTGTGTTTGACATTTCTGCCCTAGTGAATTCCCAGTGTGTTCTGTATGGGGCTGCCCTTGAAGAGTATCCAGAAAGTTCAACTGGTGCAGAATGCAGCAATGTGGGCAGCTATGCGTATTTCTAGAAGAATACACATTACTTTTTTTTCCTCCAGGAGCTGCCTTGGTTAGCAGTCTGCTTCTGGATCCAATTCAAGGTGCTGATATTGAACTTTAAAGTCCTACATGGCCTGGGGCTGGATTATTTGAGTGATTGCCTCTCCCACCAGATCCAGCAGAGAGAGCATGCTGTGGGTCCCAATAACTAAGGAACTTCAGCCTTCCCAGGTAAACCAGACAGGAATCATGACCAGATGAGCTTATTCTACTTTATTGTAAGGCCACAATAGAATCTTAATAGAATCTTGCAAGTCTGAAAGTACAAACTTCCCACTACCACTTTTAACTGCCCAATCAATCAGGGCAGGTCCTTCTTTTCTTCTGACTGTTAAGCCACTGGTGCTTTTAGGATGGAGGCTGCACTCAAAGTTTTGTCAGGAAACACAAGCCAACCTGGTCCTGAAGATTATTCACCTTTTTCTACTCAAACAGACCACAATACCTGAGAAGCCTATTCTTTGTCTTCTCTAATTCAAACCCTTTTGAAGCATATTATGACTAACTTTCTCAATTTCACTATTGTAAAACATTTGTACCAGTATCTATCTGTATCTAGGAATTTAGCCATTAGGGGTCTTCTTCCATTGCTAAGTTGAAGCAGCCTCCTGTTAGATATCAACCATCCACTTGGGAAGAGGGCTCAAACAAAGAATCAGCCTAGTCTCCTACATAAACACTAGAGGACAAGGTCTGGCCTCCCCTGAATGCCTTTGAACATTATCTGACTTTTCCAGGTGAAAACTACCAGTCTGGGGAGATTCCTGTGAAACAGGCAGAGAACATCAAAGTAGCAATAGCAATAACATTTAGACATATATACCGCTTCACAGTGCTTTACAGCTCTCTCTAATCATATTGTTAGCATACTTCCCTCAACAATCTGGATCCTCATTTTACCAACCTCATGGAAGGCTGAGTCAACCTTGAGCCGGTCAGGACCAAACTCTCGGCAGTGAGCTGAATTAGCCTGCAATACTGCTGTCAGATGCCTATCTTCGCTTTCTTTGAAGCTCGCTAGCAACTGCCATAAGCAAGGGAGGAGGGGGCATTGGGGAGGGGAAAGGGGCTGGAGGTGTGAAAGAATGCTGTGGGAATTTGGGGAGTATGGACACTAACAGGAGCCAGAGGTGCTAAACCAAGCTATGTGCCTACTTTCAAGGACACTGGCCCTGGGAAAGGAATTTACAATGGCGTCTGAGGCACCAGGTTCCCAAAACATTGGAACAGATCCTGATTGGACTACTCTCACTGTGGGGAGGGTTTTGGACATTGGGGATTGCTTTCAATATATGTTTTTCACACTGTTTTTCTTCAGAGTTTGCACTCAGCATCTCCAGTAAAAGTATCTTTTCTCTAACACCTATGGGATCAAGGGTCATTCTTTCCTAGGGAGCAGGCTGTGGCCAGTCTGTCAGTCGCATTCTAACCATGGTGCCACCTCAGCTCTTAGTTCAAGTACTTAGCTTGAACTTCATATGTGTGAGTGTGATTGTTTACACCTGACACTTCCCAACATTCCTTAGTCAGCCAAAACTATGCCAATATTTGTTATCTCCTCCCTCCTGGCCTGTATTTGTTCTGCCCCAACTCATGGCAACCACCAACTGTCTTCTAAAGGAAAGGTCGTCAGGATTTTCTACGCTGTCATGCTGCCTTTAGATAGCATTGGAATAAAAGGGAAAGTACTATTTTAATATGAATGCAGCTAAGGCTGTCTTAAACCAGTCTCTCCTAACTTGGGAAGAGCTGAAAGCAAGACAATGTTGCTGATGCGCATTGGTGTCACAGTGAGATGCAGTTGTGAAATGTTCTTCAATGTTTGTCAACCTCAGCAACTTTAAGATGGACGAACTTCAACTCCCAGAATTCCCCAGTCTGGTAGGTGTAGTCCACCCATCTTAAACTTGAGGTTGACAAACACTGCTCTAATCCAGGTACCCAATGATGTTGTTTAATGAAATTAGAAAGTTGCTAATTTGATAGCAGAGTTTTAGGAGATGAATATTACATTCTTGGTCTTTCTAAAGAAAGAAACAATATATAATAAATGCAGATAAAAAATGCCAACATTCCAAAAGACTGATCAAATATAAGAATTTCCTGATTTATCTTTTCAGCAGTAATACATCATGAAGAACCCAGCCCATGATTCAGGGCAATTTACCAATATAGTGAACATTGGACAAGAGGCATCTTAGATCTCTCTTTTTAAAAAAATATGGAAATAAAGATGTTTGTTTGATTATAAGGTATTTCCCCAGTGGTTTTGACCTAGGGAGTCAATTGCTATTATTTTTATTTTATTTTACTATTTTGTGGCATATTTTGGTATTAGGTCTTGTCAACTCCTATCATCTACTTGACCTTCTAGGATAGAGGGTGAGATTAAAAAATACTTTATTTAAACAAAACCAATAAATGAAAAAAAACCCTATTTGATTTTTTATTCTCAAATTGTTTGAAATCAAATAGTTTTTGATTTTATGGGCAAAGTTGCTAAATAACCAGGCCCTTCCTATTCATTAGGACAATGTGCATCACAAGATTGAAATCCTGTAGGCCAGCATGCAATTAAGCTATTCACTTAACATCACCTGAATTTAACCCAAGAATGCCTGGAGAGAGGAATAGTTCAAGGTATCTTCTTGTGGCTTGATTATTAGTGATCCCTCTACCAAGCCACCTGGTTTTGACTTGTCTCACTCTGTCTAGATGAAATTGGACAGAATTAGGTGTGGTATTGGAAGGAATGCCTCTGCCTTGTATCTCCAGGGCTGGAAAAATTCCCCTTGTTGCGATTGTAGTGCTGATATGCAAATTATTGAACATATTATGCAAGATTGCCCACGACGTCTGTTCTCTAGTTCCCTAGAAGATCTGCACGAAGTAAATGCCAGAGGCAATCAGCTGGATAGTGAACTGGACATCCAGTTATGAGGCCACTGCTGTACCCCCATAGAAGTTTTTGTATTTAATTTTGTGGATTGTGTGTCTATGTTTACTTCTCTTTGTCATGTTCCCATCATACACTAAATAATAAAAAAATAGTCATTCCAAAAAATACTTACTGGTAGTATTATGGATAGGTCAAATGGTAAGTGACTAATACTGCCAACTCAGGAAAAAATTAGTCATTTTTAAGTGGCTCATATCCTCATGGCTTCAAAGACTTCTTATCTGCTTTGTCCTCCTTCAGTCAGAACTTCCCAAGGGCAGATCACCTCTTTGGCAGAATCCTTGTAAGGCCAGGGATGGTGATTTTCTTCCCCTCCAGCGTCCATTGGGTGGATTTTGCTCTCCAGAAAAATCTGAAAGAAGGTGCTAAACCAAAGACAAACAAAACAAAATGTCACAATTTATGTATTCTCTTTATTTCTATTTCATATTTCTAAACCACCCATCTCCCTCGAAGACAATGACAGTGAAGGTATCAAAATGGTGGAGAGCTTTTGCCTTTTAAGATCAACTATCACCAGTAAAGAAACAAGCAGTCAAGAAAAGATATTCAAATATCACAATATGTGGTACCTACAAAGATCTGAACCATTCAGGCAATGATATTCCCTTGACACTCATGGAAGCAAAAGTTGAACTTTGAAGAAGCAAGATAAAGAGAGTATTGACCCATTTAAAGTACAGCGTTGGAGAAAATTCCTGTGAATACTATGGACAGCCAAGGAAACAAACAAATGGATTGTCAAACCAATCCATCTAGGGGCACAAATGAACAGAATCAAACACTTTGGACACATTATGTGCAGATGTAGCTCTATGGTAAAGGCCCTAGTACTGGGAAAGGTAGATGGAAAGAAGAAGACAACCAGCAGCAAGGTAGATAGACTCAGTTCCAAGGGAATTGGGTATACAGTTGAAAGACCTGAAGGGCCAGGTTAAGGACAGATTGTCATGGAGAAAATCTCTCTATGAGATTGCTAGGTACATAATCACAAAGCATTATTAGGACTACTGTATTCCCCTGTCGTTTGGGAGAATAAGCCATGGCCGCTAAGCTCAAGTAAAACCACCCACAGGATACTTACGTGGATGCTTTTTTGGATTTTGGTTGAAGGTGTTGGCTCAGATCTTCTAAGGGTTGCACTTTTCCCTGTGCCCTGGCAGGAAGCTTAGGTGAAAGGGTGGCAAACACTGGTGAATTCAAGAATCGCCATTTCAAGAACCTGCCTAGGGACAAGGCCATCTTTGGCTTGGGTGGCATCTTGGACTTGGAGTTGATAGCATTTGGAGAACTGTGGCCATTGTCCAGTTCAGAATCCATGGAGTTCTGAGCCCTTTCCAGAAGGGAAGGAAAGGGGTCAGAACCAAACCTGTTAGGCTCTAAGTTCTTCTCTGTGACAGACGTATTGTCTAAGTCTACCCGAAGAGGTGAGGAGTAGCTGGCATTGTTTGGTAGAGGGAGTTGCTTGGGGCATTGAGAAGGAGGCAGAGGATCAGAGGTACCAGTATAAATGGCCAAATGCGAAACAGGAACGGTAAACTGACATAACTGCAGGGAAAATACAGAGAGAGAGAGAGAGAGAGAGAGAGAGAGAGAGAGAGAGAGAGAGAGAGAGAGAGAGAGAGAGAGAATGGTTATAGCATAGACAATTATATAGAATTCTTATAGAAAATTGAGGTCTTTATTATACTTGGTCATCTGTTACTGTCTTCACTATGCTTCACATTATGATCTTCCCAGCATTCATACAATTCTATGGGGAGCCTCCATCATGTCTTTTTTACAGTTCAGTATGAGCAAAGCAATGCTACTACGAATTACAGAGTGCATGATGTCACATTCAGTCTGATCTGGCTTCTGCCAGTAGGTAGAAACCAGCCAGTCTAGATGTGGCTATCTATCTATCTATCTATCTATCTATCTATCTATCTATCTATCTATCTATCTATCTATCTATCTATCTATCTATCTATCTATCTATCATCTATCATTTTCTAACACTAGCTGTACAGCAGCAAAGGATAGTCCTTAACCAATTCAGTACAAAATATATTGTATGTGTATGTGTGTGTTCATACATAGAAAAATAAAACTAGTTCAGAAATCCTATAATGTTTTCTATATAGAGCTGTGTGTTGCTATTACAGTTCTGACACAATTCTTAATACAAATACCTGACTGTTGTTAAGTAAGTGTGACACCATTGTGCATAAAAATGGCAGTGTTAAGAACTCGCGGGGGTATATGTGTGTGTGTGTGTGTAAAGTTTTTCAGTCTATTCCTTAAAATAATAAACCCATTTCTCCGAAATAAATTCCTCCCCAAAATCAGAAGGGCTACCTCTCATTTGTAAAGCACATACTTGATATGTATAACACCCCAAGTTTAGCTTCAACCTATTCAGACAGAGCTGGAAAAAATTTCCCATTTGAAGAAAATCAAATCAAAATATCAAAGCAAAATATTGGGATAAATTGATAGGATTCTAATTAGAGCAGTTTTCTAGAGCCCTAAAATGTTAGGAATTTTTTCCCCCTGTTGATACATTTTAATTGGCTACTCTATGGTTATCCAGAAGATGTCTATGGAGATTCTCAGTCATCCAGATCATGGTTGTCCCAAAGATGCTTCAGCTTCTTAAGAAGCTTCTTGGATGAGAAGCAAAACATTTTCAAGGAAAAGACCAAGAAAGCCCAGTTGCCTTTTGAAAAACACTTTAGGTTATCCAGAAGATGATAAATAGTATTGGCATCTACTGTGGATACCCATACAAATCAATCAACTAACTGTAAGAGTTCAGCTAGTCAAATTTGGTTCCAGTCTGTCAAAGTTATTACCTGATTGTCATGGCCATGTTATACAATTGCATATTCCTAAATAAATCCCTTTAATAATATGTATTCATAGTCCTCGGCTCATAACCGGTTGCTGAACAACCCTTTGACGTTACCACAGGCCTCCCCTGAACTATTTTCTGAGATACAATGGCCGTAAACACACACCACCCATAGTCACATAATTGCATTTTGGATGCTTGGCAATTGGCCCACCTTTACAGCTGTTTACAGCATTCCACAGTCATGTGGCCACAATTTGTGATCTTTTTGCTAGTTTCCTGCATTCTGGTTTCCAGGAAAAAACACCCATTGGGGGAAATGGATTAGCTTAATGACTGTTGCATTCACTTGTTTTAAATGTGTGTTATATATGTGTACAGTTTGAGAGGAAGCAACTAAATTTCATTTTAATGTGTGCCATTGTGCCCACAAGAAAAAATGACAATAAAGGTTATCTATCTACTTAACAATTACTATGTTCATTTTCACCATTGTAAAAAATGGTTGCAATAGACAGCCATGTGATGTCTTGATTTATAATCGCAACAACTTATGACTATAATTCTGGGCCCAATTATGGTTATAAGCCAAGGACTAACTTTAGTATGGGCGTGATACTCTAGAACTATATTGGCAGAGCGGAGCTGAATTTTATTTGGTTCAACTCATATAGCACAAAAAGTATTTATTTTTACATGGTTAATCAGAAGGGGAGGTAGACGAAGCAGAAGCTGGTTAATCTGGACTTTTCTTTAAAAAAAAAAAGATCACCTTAACTAATGCTGTCATTTGGTATAATATATGAACATTAGTTCTCCAAACGCTGGGGCAAATCCCTTGAAAATAGCAAACTAGCTTTTGTGAAAATGATTGTTTTCTGACACTGTATAACAAACACCTTAATGATGTATATTGAAGCATATTGTTCGTATTTTAGTTAGGGAGAAATGTTATCTGGAGCATGCAAGGGAACCTGTCAAGGAAAACAAAGGTGCCATTTAGAAAACACAACTTTGAGGGAGTTCACAAGTACCTCCTGCGCAGACATGCATCTCCAAATCATATTTTGCCTGTTGAATCCAGGTCTTTGCACTGTTCTAGTTTCTATGTTGAGAGATGCATAGTCCAGATATTAAATATATTTTTCATAGAAACACATTAGGATGTCCTATACCAACTTCCTAGAAATGAAATGTATTATAAATGTATTATAATAAATGTATTATAAATTTTGGCTATCTAGTCACAATTTAAATATGTTATAATTAAAAAAAATAAGATCGATTACCTAGGACTTTCTAGATACCTAAAATGGTTTAAGGTTAGTTGCTTAATCAAAATGGTGAGCAACTTTACTCCAACAACAAAAAGATATTGGAGTTAAATAAATGAACTCCCAAATCTCATAGCACTATAAGGGAAAAGAAAATATGGAAAAACAGGATCTGCTTCTGTGTGGATAATGCGAGTAATTCTTTTCAAATCTTCCTAGCTCTGTTTCCTAATTCAGTTTTATGACCAGAATCAATGGAATGTCTCTTGGGTTTACATAAAAAGCACCCCAAATAAAGATTACAGCCTTTGCCAGTATTACCTGCTGAAGTTCCTACATCTCTGTACATTGAATTTGGAGAGGCTTATTTCACTGTTTGTAAACAAAGATGCCACTTCCAGTTTTCCTTACCTTGAAATCCTCACATTGTCAACTAAGATGGCCTCAAATTGTCTCATGTAATTCAAAAGAATTTGCTGTTTCTTGGTGTTTTCTATCAAACTTCTGCATCTTGTCACGCAGGTATCTTTTCTGTTGTGTCTGTCATGCTTTTATTTATCTCCCTTGATCATTCATCCTGTACAGTATGAATTCCCTGGTGCATTTCTTTTGCCCTTGGCATGATACGTCTTTGTTTCAAATATCACCAAACAGCCGATCTCATAGCATGCCATTTCAGGTACCAAATGTGGTTGCACATAATGGTACAAATGTTTTCCTTCCAGTTTTTCTTTGTCTGTACTGCAATATTGGAGAGGAAGAACCTACATCCAAGCCTTGCTTGCTATCACATTCATCCAAGGGTTTAAAAGGACATTACCACAGTACGAAACTCTCCAGTGCAAAATTGGGTATGTCTAGTTTAATGAAGAGAAGGACGAGGGGGGACATGATAGCAGTGTTCCAGTATCTCAGGGGCTGCCACTAAGAAGAGGGAGCCAAGCTATTCTCCAGAGCACCTAAAGGCAGGACAAGAAGCAACAAATGGAAACTAATCAAGGAGAGAAGAACCTAGAACTAAGGAGAAACTTCCTGATAGTTAGAACAATTAACCAATGGAACAGCCTGCCTCCAGAAGCGGTGAATGCTCCAACACTGGAAGTTTTTAAGAAGAGACTGGACAGCCATTTGTCCAAAATGGTGTAGGGTTTCCTGCCTGAGCAGGGGTTGGACTCGGTGACCTCCAAGGTCCCTTCCAACTTTACTATTATTATTATCAATCATCGCACAGTCAGCCAGATGTTCAGACTGGATTTGGCATTTTGTCTACCTATCGAGTCCTTACCCAGGACCTGGGATAGGCAGATGTGGATGTTTGATGGTATTACAGATATCGTCGCAGGATGGAAGCAGTTCCTAATAAGGCCGCCTTTTGCAATTGACTAATAGCGAATTTGTCAATGCCAATGGTGTTCAAGTGGTGCTCCAGTTGTTTTGGGATTGCACCCAAGGAGCCTATGACTATTGGTACTACCCTTGCTTGCTTTTGCCACAGTCTTTCTATTTCTATTTGTAGGTCTTTGTATTTTGTTATCTTCTCCAGTTCTTTCTCTTCTATTCTGCTGTCTCCAGGCACTGCCACGTCCACTATCCAGACTTTTTTGTCTTTCTTATCGACAATTGTTAAGTCTGGGGTGTTATGTTGCAGGTGCTTGTCTGTTTGAATTCTGAAGTCCCAGAGCAGTTTAATTTTATCATTTTCTATGACTTTCTCTATTTTATGATCCCACCAGTTTTTGCTTACAGGCAAATGATATTTTTTGCAGATCTTCCAATGCACCATTGTTGCTACTTTGTCATGCCGCTGCTTGTAATCCGTTTGTGCAATCTTCTTGCAACAGCTTACCAAGTGGTCCACTGTTTTTTCAGCTTCTTTGCATAGGCGGCACTTACTGTCTGTTGCTGTCTTCTCAATTTTGACTTTGTATGCATTTGTCCTTAAGGCTTGGTCTTGTGCAGCCAGAATTAGTCCCTCGGTCTCTTTCTTCAATTTTCCTGCTCTTAGCCATTGCCAGGTTTTATTATTATCTGCTTTCCCAGCTATTTTTTTCATGTATTGGCCATGTAGTGCTTTGTCTTCCCATGCCTCTATTCTGTTCTTCATTTGGTCTTTCTTGTAGGCCAGTTTGGTCTCTCCAGTAGTTAGTAAGCCTTCCTGATATACTAATTTCAGTGCATCTTCATCATTGTTCTTCAGATATTCTTCCAAAGCC